GTGGACACCAGGTGATACTCCAATCATGGACACATGCACAGCATGTGATATTCACTTAGGGTCACATGTTCATCTTTCGAAACATGGCAGTTAGTTGTATAAATACATGAATAAATTTAAGTGCATAAAACCGTTAGAACTTCAGAATGTAATACAAATACAACTACATATCAACTAAAAATCTCCCTGTATCAGTATGACCATCAATTTCACATCTTTGTGTCTTTTTCAGTTTTGTTTGTAGCACCATTGAGTTCATCCATTGAACCTTTCATTTGATCATCAACTTGAACTTTGACATAGTGAGTATCCTCTTCTGGGACCTGAAAAAACAAAACAAATAATAGATAAGTGAAATCTAATCATATCACTGTCAAGTTGGCCATCTTGAATCAAATTTTGAAACATACGTGAGCATATGTATTCTGAAAATCTTGATTATCTGTGAAGGTTGAATGTGATTGATCCAAGCATTCCAAGATAACGATGGGAATGAATGAATGAATTAATGCATAAATATGCACAGGCAAACATCCAGGCATTTCACTGCCTGGCATCCAACACTGGTGAAAACAAAGGACGAAAACTATCAGAAAACTGTACTTTAGGCTAGTTGTTGAGACCTGAACAGTTTAACATGACATGTGCAACATATAACAATTTGGTTGACTTTTAGCTATTTTCACTCAGAGCACAGAGTTCTGTAGAAATACATAGTAAAGTGGTGCATATCCAAGCAACATAAAATATTTTGTGACATAGGTCTGACCCCGAGAATAGCTTAATATTGAAGTAAATGTGATAAGATAAGGTAATAGAAAGCAATTTAATAAATGTTCTTTTTCTATTTTTTATCCTTAATTATTGGTAGTAAACATTGAAAATAAATGTGTGTAAAAGCAATATTATTCTCATACTTCATCGTCATGGATACTGACCTCCCAGAAGTTATTGTCATCATATAATTCATCAGGTGTGAGTTGATCCAGGATTGGTATCTTCAGGAGTAGACCTATAAAACAATTATTACAAAGATTTAACAATTCCAATTTAGAGAGAGAGAAATTGAGTATCATCACAAAATGACCAAATCTGAGAAAGGTCCACCTGAAGTACCTACAAAACAATGATTACAAAGATTTAACAATTCCAATTTAGAGAGAGAGAATCGAGTATATCATCACGAAATGAACAAATCTGAGAGAGGTCCACCTGAAGTACCTATAATATGTATCAAAGCAAATAGGACTTGCGAAAATATAACATTTTACCAAAATTTACAAAACTATTCATCTAAATTATAGAATTGAAGATATCATCACGCAATGAACAAATCTGAGAGAAGTCTACCTATGTATAATATCAAAGCAATCAAACATGCGGTTTTCAACAAATATCACTTTTTTCCAAAAATTACAAAAATATTCATTAA